CCTTCCTGTGCAGAGGCAGGGCAGAGCAAAGATACAGAAAGTTGTTACAGACAATCTAGGGGATTAAGTTCAAACCTTAGTAAATTCAAGGAGTGGGTAATGACTGTTTGTTTTCTTCAAATAACAAAACCCCCATTGTTTACTTCTGTACCTCTACACACCTCTGCTAGCGACCCTTACTTTTCTCTCTTTCTTTTTAAAATTTCTGTCCTTCTTTTTTTGCCATAACTGATTATGTCTACATTGACTTATCTGCCCTTTTTTCTTCCCAAAACGGGAAGTGGTATTTGCTTTTTTTAACCTATACTTTATGACTCAGTGTTCCATGGAACCATTGGGGTTGTACAGCTTTTGTTCTTCAGCAAAAGAGCTATTGTCTCTTGGTCCTTTGTTAAAGGGTATTTAGCATCTTCTAAATCAGTTGATCTATACTTATTCCACCAGTCCTTCTCACTACATTGTTTCATTCTCCACTTGCTTGCCTAAAATGCAGTTTACAGTCCCTTCTTTACAGTGATGCATTTAAATACCTTTTGACCATCAGCTTTAAAATGCTTCCCTTGTGTTCTTACTGCTAACTAGCCAAATATCAGCGAAGTATTTGAGTGGTTTACCAAAGGAGAGGCTCCTCAGATAAGAACAGTGGGGCAAGATCTTTCCTTAATTAGAAAATGGCATCTCAAGGACATCTGGGTAAATGTAGATGGAGCTGTTTCCCTTGGGATGGGGTTATTGTAGCAGAGTTAAGAATGTTCCACTGTCTGCAGTGCAGGCACTGGCACATGAGCAGGTCAAGGAATTCACCTCTTGAAGATGATGGCAAGGATGGCAATGGCAGCAATTACCAGGAAGGCTAGACCACCGAGTGCTGAGCCCACGATAAGCGGCAGTCGATCCTGCACCATCTCCGAGCGCTCCCCTAGCAAGGAAGACACATGCATACACACACTCAAATACAGAGGACAGAAACTGTTAGAGTTTCCCTTTTACACAACTAAGTCTCACCCATAATTCCATCCCTACCAGCCCTTTGCTGCCCAGGCTAATCCTGACAATTTAACAAATACTTGACTTGATTATCCCTTTACACCTTCAGTCGTTGTGCTTCACCAGTGCCACCTTTCCTACTTCCGAAAAGCCAGTGCTTCCTCTGAATCTATTTTTCCTTCCCCTGGTCCACTGACACCTGACTAGCCACTTAAGTATGGGCTAGCTCTACACCTGGACTTTGATCCCATTGTTCCTTATTAATTTAGCTCGTAGATGACATACTATTAGTACCTTTGAACCAGACCAAGACATATCACAAAGTAATATGTTACTCTCTGTCTGAATGGATGGTGATACCGCTGGAAGGAAATCTTCTGTGTGTATGTCCTGTGTCCCATCTGTCTTTAAGACTTTCATAGAGCATTCAGCTGTAAGATGTCCTATGACAGCTGGAGACCAAACTACAGCAATGTATAGTGCTATGTAGTGTAACACCCTCCTAGAGAGTTCTACTGAGACACTCTGCTCCTGCTGGTCAGAGGCAACAAGGTATAGGACTGGGGAATATGGTGGTAGCAAAGGCTAAGGGAGTGTAAATAATATGCTCTGACAGCATGAAGCTTCTTTGAGTGAACAAATCTGCACATGCAAATTATGAAATACAGAAATACAAATTGAGTAGGAGTGTCTGATAGCAGTCCTCCAGAGGATAAGCTAATACGCTCAGGGTCACACACAAGTGAAAGATGGTCATGTGCAGAGCCAAGTACAAAATGGTAGCACTTACCTCCCATTAAAGTCTGGAAGTACATTTTTCCACTGTATGTGCCATAGCCCACTGCTGTTCTAGCTCGTACTTGGAAGGCATAGATCTTGCCTGGGCTCAGATTTGATATGGTGGCCATGTTGGTTTCACTAGTCAAGGTGAATGAATTCTCCTCCTCTTCTGCCTGTGAATTTCAGTGACCAAAAAGGAATGTGAGACTTCTGCCCACACTTACTGGCTGTCTTTATCAAGGAATGCTAGTTCCATGCCAGCCCAATATTCTTTGAATCTGTTATAGAGCCTCCCAACCACAACTGCTGTTCCAGATCTGCCTTCCTCTCACATTACCTGTTGCTCCTCACTGCTGCTTTTCATTCCCTTAGGCCTGGGCTTCCCACAAAGCTCTGCCAAAGACCCTCAGTCCTGACCTAAACAAAAGTGAGAGACAAAACTACCTTGTCCTGTGGTTGCTTGCTAAGTATATCCATAAAAAAAAGCCCCAACCTGTCCTGAAATTTTGCTTTCTACAAGCTCCAAACTCATGTATTCTCCTAGGAGAATCCAGAACAAGAACACCTGTAATGCTGTATCCAGGAAGCTGCTAGACATGTTATTACAAATAGCAAGCCCCTTTACTGCTAGCAAAACAGTAGCCCTGCACAATCCTGCAAAAGTATTTATGTGATAGGTCAAGAATATGGAATGGCAGCTTGTCTGAACAGCCCTATGTACCTCTTCCCATCAAATCAGTTGGATTAGGAGCCATGAAAGATGTGAATGGAGAACAACTTTATATTTGCCACCCTGTAATTCCAGCACATAAACAGGTAACTGATATCTGCCACTTAGTGAATAAAAAGAGTGCATTTCTCCTCCCGAAATTTCTGTCCAGGCATAAATAGGGATACAGGACTTCCCTCCACAAACACATGACAGAATGTTGCACTGAGTACAATTCACATATACACATTTGAAAACTTCATCCCCTTCCACTGTTACTTGTGTCAGCTGGTGCTAAACTTATTAGGTTGTTAGCCACAGCTTTTTAGCTTAGCTTAGTCTTCTCTTTTTTTATCTGCATCATCCCTAGATGTTTACAAGTTGAGAAATGCAGATGGACTCATGTTAGGTGAAGTGTATATTATGAAGTTCTGATTTTGCTACAGCTTGTTCTTCCCTCTTAATTTAAGCATTTTTCTCGACTTTATCCATCCTGATCCAGGGGTGCATCTCCCAAACAGAAGATTTCCCTATTCTGTTTTACATAACAGCTATACAACAATCAGCACTGCATCACTTCCTGCTCACCTTGTCAAAGTAGCGTAGCTGGTAATCCAGGATGATCCCATTGGGCTGGTCTGGCTGAGGCCATGATAGTGTGATGCTACTGGTAGTACGACTCACTTGATGCATCATAGGGACAGCAGAGGGGACTGAAGTAAAAGGAAAGAAGGGGAGATTACAAAGGGATAAGCTTAACAATTAACTATAATTGAATATTCATTTTGATGAGTTAAAAAGTTAGGTCAGCTCTTCCTTTAATTTATCTTAATTTGCATTATGAAGTACTTTATACCAGAAGAAATCCAAGCACAATTCTACTCTACTGGGAGATACAGTCACTGATGACTTGGACAGAAAGAAAATTAAGAAATCCACATCTGACTGACCATGCACAGGAATTATGAAATTATCTTTATAGTAGCTGGAACATTAATCTGATCTTCAAATTTGCCATTTTTACATGCAAGATAACAAGGTGTTCAGTGCCATTGCCTTGTTCTAGGATCACACTTGGACAAACAATGTGATAGAAGAAGGATAGAAATCAGGGGGTTTCTCTGCTCGGGACACATTCGTCTTTTCCTGTCTCCCCAGCAGTGGGAGAAGATGACACTGGCCACCATGGCCTCAGTGGAAGGCCAGCTGCCTGTGCAAGCCCAGCAGATCCTCCGGCAGGCGAGCTGGGGCTGGAATAGCCCTCAGCAGGAGGAATGACCAAATTCCCCACAGCCAGAAAGAAAGAATGGGAAAGGGGTGCTGCAATAGGAGAAGGAGGACCTGAAGCCTCCAGCGCTTGTTTCTAAGCCCAATGTTAGCCCAGACTGCACCACTCATCTTCTGCTTCTCTCCCAGATTATAATTCTTTGCCTGGGGAAAAAAAACCAAGTATGGGCTTTCAGAGTAATGCAGGCCTTTCACTACCATATCACTGTTGCAAACCAGAAGACAGAGGCAGATGAGAACACTGACGCATTAAGGAACAAACTTTGAAGCATTCATCAGTTAAGTGGTCCCAGTTCAGTTGCAAATCATGGAGAATGAAAGCATCTCATTTTCATAGCCTGATATGTAGCCTTGTGTTTAGACTAGGCTGATCTCATCCAGAGATCCTGGAGCTCAGACCAATCCCTGTCATCAACATCTGTTGCCCAGATGTCAAAACTACCACTGTATTTGAGACTCTCAGTCCCTCTGTGGGCCATTGAACCACAGAAGTCCAGTCTGAATAGGCTTCTATCCAGCACTACTTCCTGGAATCACCACCTCAAGGTCACTGTTAAGTGTGTATGTGTGGAAGCTTCCCACTCTACCTTTTCTTACATACCTTGCAAGTTTCTGTCGCTTGGTGAACAGGCCAGCCTGGCATACTACCTAGATGGAGCTGTTATCTTTCTTGATTCCATTATGGTATTAAGGGATATATAGGTATTCAGGTGTGTCAGGTATTCATTAATGTGGGAGAAATGTCAACTTGCTCTTAAAAGCAAAGCAAGGATCTGGTGAAGCAAGCAAGCTCAGATGAAAGGTCGTTTTTGGACTGACATTTGGCTAGTTAACTTCACAAAAAAAGTCTTTACAGGGAATGGGAAACTTTCAGATAGACTCCAGATGAGCATTTGATGTCAAAAGACACAAGGAACACACTCAGAAGAAGAACTGTCCTAGTGATTACCATAAGCAGAAAAATTCAAAGGATTGTGGATAGCAAAAGGTTATATAAAAAAAAGAAAAATGTGTTAAGAGAAGAATATTGTATATAGGTGTTAATATGAAATTAGGGTGTCTAATGAATGTTCTAAAATGGAACACCACACCACAAGCTGCAGAATTAGCCCATCTGGTTATCGCTTATGGTACTCTACAGGCTTCCACCTCCAATAACAATTATTTGGAAATGTTTCTAACCCACACAGGTGCTGAGTGGCCATTGATGCATCTTTCTTAACAAAACACAACTTCAGAAAAACAGAGTAGCTTGCTTATCTAACCTTCTTCTCATGCGTGTTCAATTCCCTTTGGGTTTTCAAAGCCCATTGTAGAACCTTTTATGTATACCGTGGGACTGCAGGTATGCAAACCTTAACAAAGCTGAAAACATTACAGCTGCAGTCCAGATATAAGAGCCAATAACATCTGTGGAGTCCCATCAGCTTTACGACTGTTATATTACTTCATCTTCTCCGTCAGAAGTCTTCTTGTCTGCAGAGTAACTTCCACATCTGCTGTGATAAGAGTGGTAAGTCCTAGAACAGGTCAGACCATAAAAGGGACTTCAATAACTCTGAATGACAGCTATAGGATGCTATAGAATGATAGGAGAACACTGATTCTTCCCAGCACTCAGAAAATGACACAAGTGTGTGATACATTGCCATATGGGAAGGGGGAAGAAGAAATTGTAATTTCGCGTATGATAGATGATGGTAAGAAAAGAGCAACTACTTTTTCCTTCAGGCCTTTATCCATCAGAAAGTCAAATGGTGCTCATATGGAAAGATCTTTC